TGGTGTTTGTGTTTGTGAGGGACAGAAATACCTCTCGAGGTCTTCTATTGTCAGTAATGCGGCATACTGCCTTTTCCCCTATAAAGGATCTCGCATGATTTGTTTAAGTATAACACTCGGGTAGGATGGCGTTTATCACAGTATCAATATATAAAATGAGACAGAGATGCACAGAAAGATTTAAGAATACCTACATAGATTCTGATTGTATCCTCACTGGCCTGATCCTTCCGTAACTAACTAGGATTTCATTCAAGGCAGTTAATCTGGATTTACCTCCATCATGAACCTATTGCATCGTGTCCTGGTCCTCTGCTGATAACGCCAAATGAACTCATGGCCCAGGGCAGATGAAGGACATTTTAATATTTGCAGACTAACCTCCACCCAAACAGTTTTACTAACTAGGATTTCATTCAAGGCAGTTAATCTGGATTTACCTCCATCATGAACCTATTGCACCGTGTCCTGGTCCTCCGCTGATAACGCCAAATGAAATCATGGCCCAGGGCGGATGAAGGACATTTTAATATTTGGAGACTAACCTCCACCCAAACAGTTTCTTCAATGCAGCTTTGAGCTCCCTGTTCCTCAGGCTGTAGAGGACCGGATTCATCACTGGAGGCACCACGGCATAGAGAACGCCCACTGCCAGATCCAGGCCTGACGGAGCACTGGAGGTGGGTTTCAGGTAGGTGAAGGAGGCTGTGCTCAGGAACAAAGAGACCACGGCGAGGTGGGGGAGGCATGTGGAGAAGGCTTTGTGCCGGCCCTGCTCCGAGGGGATTCTCAGCACCGCTCTGAAGATCTGAACATACGACACAATGATCAAAACAAAGCAAGTAAAAGCCAAAACCGCACCAAAGGGAACATAAGACACAATGATAAAAACAAAGCAAGTAAAAGCCAAAACTGCACCAAAGACCGTAACCCCAACTTCACTGTGGTAGGAGTCGGAGCAGGCCAGCTTGAGGAGCTGTGGGATTTCACAGAAGAACTGGTCGATGGCATTGGCCCGGCAGAAGGATAATCTGAAGGTGTTCCCAGTGTGCAGGGCAGCGTAGATAATACCAGCGAGCCAGGCACCAGTGGCCATGAAGACACAAACTCTCCTGTTCATCACTCTCTCGTAGTGCAGAGGGTGGCAGATGGCCACGTATCGGTCGTAGGCCATGATGGTGAGCAAGTGAAGATCAGTTGAAGTGAAAATGAAAAAAAGAAAGACTTGGGCAACACAGGCAGAGTAAGAAATCACCCTGGTGTCCAGGAGGGAGTTAGCCATGGATTTGGGGACGGTTACGGAAATGGAGCTGAGGTCTAGGAGGGACAGGTTCCCCAGGAAGAAGTACATGGGGGTGTGCAGATGGTGGTTGACAGCGACAGCTGAGATGATGAGAAGATTCCCAATCAGGCCTACCAGGTAAATCGCCAGAAACACCACAAAGTGCAGAATCTGCAGCTCCCGCACGTCGGAGAACCCCAGGAGCAGGAACTCGGTCACGGTGCTGCCGTTGGACATTGTCTTCCTCGGCACGTGGTGCGATGGCTGCGGAGAAAAGGACACAGAGAGATCTTGAAGTCGTCAGAGATCGTTCCCTGAAAACATGCTCACCGTGTGCAGCGGCTGTTGGAAAAACCAAAGAGAACGTTAGGAATCATTACGAAAGGGGCAGAGAACAAGACAGAGAATATCGTATTGCCTCTGCATAAAGCCATGGGACGCCCACATCTCGAATCCTGCCTACAGACGTGGTCTCCTTATCTCAAAAAAAGATCTCTTGGCATTGGCAAAGGTTCAGAAAATTGCAAGAAAGATGATGAGAAGGTTTGGAAGGAGTCCCATGGGAAGACAGACGGAGACTTTTCAGTTTAGAAAAGAGGAGACTAAGGTGGCGTCTGATAGAGGTCGATAAAATCATGACTGGGGTGGTAAAAGTGAAGAAGAAAAAGTTATTGACTTATTCTCATAAGCTCAAAACTAGGAGGTCACCCAATGACATGAAGAGGCAGCAGGTTTAAAAGAAACCAAAGGACGTTTTTCTTCACACAACACACCGTCAACCTGTGGAACTCCCTGCCAGAGGATATTGTGAAGACCAGGACTTTAACAATGTTCTAGAAAGAACTAGATAAATTCATGGAGGTTAGGTCCATCTGTGGCTATTAGCCAGGATGGGCAAGAAGCGTATCCCTGTCCTTTGTGTGTCAGGGGCTGGGAATGCGTGAGAGGGAAGAGGTCGCTGGATGATTCCCTGTTCTGTTCATTCCCTCTGGGGCACTTGGCATTGGCCACTGTGGACAGATCTGGGCTGGATGGACCTTTGGTCTGACCCAGTCTGGCCGTTCTGCTCTTCTATCTTTATATTCAGTTAAAATATGAACTCTGTCTCTCTCTTAGGTTACAACGATCACATCCGCCCATGATGCCTCCCCATTACGAGTATTTCGAGAGATAAGCTGGGCGAGGTGAGACCTTTTCCCGGACAAATTGACTGAAGCTGATTAAGTGCTAATAAAACCCGATTCTGCACAGGGTTCGTTCTACGCATAATTCTCTTCTCTCCCCTCCAGCAATGGCAACAATTAAACAAAACCTTTTCTGCTGGCTCCCAGGGTGGACCCCTTTGATTTCATGGGTCCGGGGACAGCTCCTGCCTGGAGCCTGCCTTGGAATTTTCAGCAGGGTTCGACTTCAGATGGTCGATATTGGTGCCTGTCAATGTCAGCGGACAGGCTGAAATGAACAACAAATCATCCATGGGTTGGGCAGCCTCCTGCCCCACTTGTGCATGTGGGGACATGGTCGCCAGCCCCACGGTGGAGCAGGGTGCTCTCTGCCCCCAGCCATCATGGGGGTGGGCGAGCGGGACCGTGACTTCCAGCGTGGCCGTGGGGATGGAGACATCTGCATAGGTGTAAGGTGCCAGGGAGGTTGCCCAGAGCAGAGACCTGAAATCTGGGCTGCAAGGAGGAGGGGGAGTGCCCGGCTGTGGGGCAATCCTCCCCTCTGTTCAATGGCTTCTGTGCATGGATGGAGCCCTGCACTTGTGGGTTGGCCTCCCCTGTAGCCAGGGGCTTCTCATCCTCCTCTCCGTCTCTGTCGTCACTGTGCATCTCCGCTGGATTCTCAGAGCAGCTTGCACCCTGCCCCTTGCACCCCCAGTTCTTGGACCCCCTGGATCTCACAGGGGTCCCAGTGTTCACTGCTGGGAGCCCCTGTTGGGAACCCCCCTGTCACCTCTGTCCTCAGCCTGGTCCCAACCCTGCTACTCCCTCTCCTGGCTGAATTTCCCGCCGTCGTAATAATGCGAAGAGTTCAAAACTAGGAAAAGCTTCAACATGAATAATAATCACTGGCATTGGGTGAACCCCATCCCCTGTTCTGCCAGTGCCTGCTCCCCACCGCTGAGCCCGGCAACAAATATCAGCTCCGCTGTCCTCAACACCTCTCACGAACCTTCTCATGTCCCCAGCTAGGTCACCGCCGGTGAGAAACACAGCCGGGATGCTGGGAGAGGAAGCAAGGGGGCTGGAGGTGATGAACTTCTGAGGGCTTTTCCAACCCTGTGCTTCTATGAAGGCTCCTCCAGCCGTTAGAAACTCGCCTTGGACTTTGGAGATGTTGGTTCATTTCCCACCTTTGTCACCAACTCCGTGTGACGTTCAGGCTGGATTATCCATGTGTGTGATGCCTGTGCTTCCTACATAAGAACATAACATAAGAACGGCCGTAATGCATCAGACCAAAGATCCATCTAGCCCAGTATCCTGTCTGCCGACAGTGGCCAGCACCAGGTGCCCCGGAGAGGGTGGACCAAAGACAATGATCAAGCAATTTGTCTCCTGCCAACCTTCTCCAGCCTCTGACAAACAGAGGCCAGGGGCACCATTTTATCCCCTGGCTAATAGCTTTTTATGGACCTAACCTCCATGAAATTATCTAGCTTCTCTTTAAACTCTGTTATAGTCCTAGCCTTCACAGCCTCCTCTGGCAAGGAGTTCCACAGGTTGACTACACGCTGTGTGAAGAAGAACTTGCTTTTATTAGTTTTAAACCTGCTATCCATTAATTTCATTTGGTGTCCTCTAGTTCTTCTATTATGGGAACTAATAAATAACTTTTCTTTATCTGCCCTCTCCACACCACTCATGATTTTATAGACCTCTATCATATCCCCCCTCGGTCTCCTCTTTTCTAAACTGAAAAGTCCCAGTCGCTTTAACCTCTCCTCATATGGGACCCGTTCCAAACCCCTAATCATTTGAGTTGCCCTTTTCTGAACCCTTTCCAAGGCCAAAATATCTCTTTTTGAGGTGAGGAGACCACGTCTGTACACAGTACTCAAGATGTGGGTGTACTATAGTTTTATACAGGGGCAGTAAGTTATTCTGGGTCTTGTTTTCTATCCCTTTCTTAATAATTCCTAGCATCCTATTTGCCTTTTTGACCACCGCTGCACACTGCGTGGAAGTTTTCAGAGAAGGGTCGTCTGGCCATTTATATATATCAAGCCTCACTAGGAGTGATTGTATAGTTCGGTGCCCAATATTCGTCTCTAAGTCCATCCCGCTGTGTGTCAGGGCCCCATCTGGGGAGCAGGGATACCACCACCTCCCAGCCAGTGGGAAGACACGGACTGTCAGTGCGGTGAAGTGGTCATCTCGTGCGCTGGTAGGGAGGTAGGTTCAGAGCTAGGATAGAAGTGATATTTTCCCCCAATTCGTTTTGTTTCGGCTGGGAGTTTGAGAGACAAACCTGCCCTTGGTTTCCCATGGTGTTAATTCCTGGACAAACTTACGTTGCATCAAAAAGAATGAGTTTCTGGGAACAAACAGAGGGAAGGTTATTTTACCTCTGAGGTGGGTCTGTCACAAGCTTGGGTCTCTGATGTCTTCTCCTCACGAAGATTTTGGGACCAGGATCTGGGTCGATCAGTCCAGATCCTCACCCCCCGCATTCACCTGCCTCGGTGTTCCCAGGACACAGAACATCACAAGGTAGAACAGCAAATGCGTCTCTGTCCCCATGTCTGGTTAGATGCCCCCGGACACTGCCAAACGGGGAGACTCTTTTCTGGATCATTATATATCCTTCCACAGGAAGGGGTAGTCTCTTGACGCATGTCTGCATGGAGAACCTAACGAGCAAGAAAACGTTAGTGTCTGATTCATTCTTAAACAACGCCGGTAGTGCCAAACTTCCCGTCTCCAAGAGACAGTCCCTCCCTCCAGGAATAAATGTTACGGCTGAGATTTCCAAGGCTGCCTAAGTGATTTAGACACCAGGATCTCTTCCAGCTCCCTTAGACAACTGTGAAAGTGTCATCACAGTTAAAGTTGGGGTTAAGCACGTACAGCTTGAGCAGTTGCTTGGGATTCCGACCAGCTCTACTACTTTTTCTAAACAAACTTCCTGTTGCCCTCTCTAGCAAGCACATGCAAGTCCCCCTCCGATGACCCTGGCTAATCAGCTCAGGTAACGTTTTAGTGATTTAGGTGCCTCGGCCTCACTTTCCAAAATCTCCTCGTTCCTGAGACTTGGCAGCCTGTGTCTGGTGCCAGGTCTAAAGGCCTTTGGCTCCGACACCATTTTGATGTGTAGGTGCAGGGTTGTGACAGGACCAGAATTTCCCGGTGGGTTCCAGCAGTGGGGAGCCCTGTGGAGCCGGCAGGGCAGTGGTCTGTCCGCAGGGAGCTGATGAGGGTGTTCCCTACGCATGGAAGTGGGTCTGCCCAGCAGGGTTTGGTGCGAGGGCAGCTGTGACTGCCCGGGGGGATCAGCGGGGCAGGAAGCTGGTTGGGAGGCTCGCCGGCCAGGCCAGGACTGGAGAGGCCATTGGCAGGGGGCCAGAAATGACCATCCCTGATCCAGGAAAATCCTTCCTCCATGACTGGTGAGGTCCGGAGGATGCTGGACCAGGGAGGTCCAACCAGTATTAGCATGTTTGTTACCCAACACAAGAACACGGGCCACTCTCTGTGGAGGAGAGTGTCACACATGGGCCAATTTGGGACTCCATGGGTGTACAGTGATTACACATCTGCCCTGGGTGTGCACCAAACTCCATTCTACATCTTGCTGCTTCAGCATAAAGGAAATGTCTGTTGCAACTTTTACAAAGCGTGCCTGTTATAAGCAGGAAGGCTGACCAGCATCTGGTGACTAACGGGTTAACTATGTCTCCTGTAGGTAGCCAGGTATCGGGTGGTCAGCCAATAACAATGCAGGTGGGAATTTCAGACTGGGAAAGGGGTTTTTCTCTCTGTTTATTTGTTTGAGATTTAGAGAGGTTTCTTCCGAGACTGAAGGAGATGGAAAGCCTGTCTGTCCCCAAGAATAGACTTCTTACAATGTGTAAGTAGGGCAAACCGTAAGGTTTTATTGGTTTCCTGTCATAAGACATCACCGATAAGAGAGGGCTCTCCAAAAATATTCCTGCTTAGGACCCTTTGGGGGCTAAGACCATTTCTGCTCCTTTTTCTAAACAAACTTTTTGTTGCCTTCTGTAGCAAGCACAA